CCCCCCCCCCCCCCCCCCCCCCCCCCCCCCCCCCCCCCCCCCCCCCCCCCCCCCCCCCCCCCCCCCCCCCCCCCCCTTCCCCCCCCCCCCCCCCCCCCCCCCTTTAATCGTTCAAATTGATTTTCTTCATAATTCCACTTGTTTGACAGTCCAACCAGGATGCTTTATGTGAATTGATTCAAAACCTCCTTTTGCGAGATATTTAATCTTTCTAAAAGGGATCCATGCGAAATAATATTTACGTAATTTGATGGCATTCTTTTATTAGTGTCGATACCTGTGATATTCAAAACATCCATCGATTTTCGACAATCGATTCACTACTATCATGAATGTTGTGAACTGAGCACTCATCGCAGTATTTCTCACTTTGAGAATTTGCACACTTACTATAATTATGAGTATTCAAGTTTTGATGTTTATAAGTTCTCCAAATAGCTTTGAATAATCTTTAGTAATTATCGTTATCGTTATGCTTTGTTTTATCTAATACATGTACTTGCATACGGTAATGTTTCATTCTAAAACAAAATCGATATTTATTTAATTGACTGAATGAATAAGGAACTAGAAAAATGGTATGCATGTTGATTGTTCTTGATCTTTTAAATAAGTCATACAACAGAAACTGATGTTCAAATGCACATATGCGAAATGCATATTTTAGCCATAGAAATCTGCATGAGGTGATCTCAATTTCTTTTATCTTTTTATTTATCCTATAAATTTTTGGCTTGGCAGCTTCAATGTCGCAAAATTTATTAGCAACCGTCGAGACTTTACTGAAAAAAACTGTGACTGATTTTGAGAATGAGCTTAAGAAGCTTACTAATAGTCCATAAAAATCATGCAAGACTAAGCGGACAATTACATACCAATTTATGAATATATTTTTATTAACCTATCACTATTAAAATTAATACAGTGCATGTACATATCGATATACGTACAGTCAAATCTCGATTTATAAATTCAATTGAATCTGCATGTCGGTACATGTATCGGTATATCGAAGGTTGACTTATTAGATTTACTTTTCCGAATTGTCACAATTGCGGTTTTGTCACATGAAACATCGTACGTATCTATCGCTATTAAAGGGATTAGAGAAATGCATGTTAAATATAGGTATCGATATATCATCCATATTAAATAAAAATCACCTAATTCACGTCAAGTCTAGAGATGTAGTCGAAACTTGATACATTGAGACAAGTCAAGTTATAACTTAGTGAATTGAGTTAAGGCCTGCCAAATATTGAACTTTATATACTGCGATCGATATTTTGAATGCTTCGGAAAAATTACTTTGATCCAGTTCTAGAAAGTTATTTTCGGATAATGCATATAAGAGAGAACAAAAAAAAATAATCAGGCAAAAATCCGATTTTTTTTAGTTCCGGAAAACCACAGGTTTAGTTATAAAAGTTCCGGATTGAAATCTGATTAGAAACGGAAAAAATGGGGACGCGATATCTCGTGATCCACAATTTCAATCCAGACCATTCGGTTCGTCTAGTCTTGACGAATCGAATAGTATATAGTATTTTCATCCGGATTAATTAAACTTTTGAATCAGTTTTTTAAATTTTTGCTCAAAATTAAAATGAATGCATTATTTCCAAACACAGTACGTACCTAGTTTTGGTGAATTCAATGATAGTAATTTTTTCTAAAAATGGTCTGGTAATTCATAAGATATCATGTTTCGGGGTTGCTGATTTTTTTGAAAAACTAATACCATAAACTGCTGTGAATAAGCATCACCTTATTTCAATCTAAAATAGTAAAACAATGAACTAAATTTAAATTACAAAAATATATCTATAATCGTTTTAATGGATAATTTTAAATTCTGAGGAAATGTCCAGAAACGAGTACCACCCCGTTTTTTAGAACCCAAAAGTGGTAATTTGAATTATCAGGTTGATTTGAATAGGTTCAACATTCGAATTATTAGGTTAATTCGAATATTGAAATTTGATTCAAACTTTGATTAAGATTCGAAATTCGATTCGATTCGACTCGATTCCGACCTCTAAATACGAGGTCCAAAAAAGTTTGTTCAAAAACAATTTATTCAAAACAGTCTCGAAAAACAAATTTATCCAATTTGTATATAATACATTAATACGTATATTACATAATTATCATAAGCTAAAAAATATACTTATTACAAATCCAAAAGCACAATTCATCATTAATATCACTTCTGAATTTTTGTCGAGGGCATAGGATGGAAGCCCTTGATTGGATGTTTCCTGAGTTGGATTTGCACGAGTTGTAGTAGTAGATGACTGTTTTGAACTTGCACTTGCACCAGATGTAGCGGGTGGCGGACTTGGGCCAGTTATAGAACCAGATGGCGGACTTGGACCAGTTGTAAGAGCAGGTGACGGACTTGGACCAGTTGTAAGAGCAGGTGACGGACTTTTGCCAGTTATAGGACCAGTTACAGGACCAGGTGGCGGACTTTGACCAGCTGGTGATGGACTTGGACCAGTTATAGGACCAGATGGCGGACTTGGACCAGCTGGTGATGGACTTGGACCAGTTGTAAGAGCAGGTGACGGACTTGGGCCAGTTATAGGACCAGGTGATGGACTTGGACCAGTTATAGAATCAGGTGGCGGACTTGGACCAGTTATAGAATCAGGTGGCGGACTTGGACCAGTTATAGGACCAGGTGGCGGACTTGGACCAGTTATAGGACCAGGTGGCGGACTTGGACCAGTTATAGGACCAGGTGGCGGACTTGGGCCAGTTATAGGACCAGGTGGCGGACTTGGACCAGTTATGGGACTAGGTGGCGGACTTGGACCAGTTATGGGACTAGGTGGCGAGCTTTGACCAGCTGGTGATGGACTTGGACCAGCCGGTGATGGACTTGGACCAGCTGGTGATGGACTTGGACCAGTTATAAGAGCAGGTGACGGACTTGGGCCAGTTATAGGACCAGGTGGCGGACTTGGACCAGTTATGGGACTAGGTGGCGAGCTTTGACCAGCTGGTGATGGACTTGGACCAGCTGGTGATGGACTTGGACCAGTTATAAGAGCAGGTGACGGATTTGGACCAGGTGGTGAAAACGTTTGTTGATTTGGACTTCCGTTCGTGTTCCCGTCTCTACGTACAAATTTATAAATTATACGAAAAATTAGACTAATTAATACAATCGTAAATTCAAAAATCAATTAACAGTTTTATTTACATACCTTATGTCTTGAAGAGAAACGATTGCTTCTATTATAAGGCACAATAATAAAGAAAATGCAAATATGCTTTTCATTTTGATTGTTATTCGTTTTGAATTTGGGTTGATATTTAGAATGTATTATCGTTTTGAAATTTATGAATTTTGGTAGATATTTATAATGTATTAATACGCAGTCGATTATAAAGTTTGTTTACACAAAAGCCTACTTAAATATTTTTTCGTAAACATAATTGAGGCTGTATGCAAGTGCATAGTTTGTTTTGGTTAAAGCATTCTGGATCTCCGAGAAAAATAAAAGAAAAAGCCAGCATATAAACATCAGCTCAATGATGTCATTTTTAATGATTCATTGTTATACAAGTATTATTTACTTCTTCACATGAAAATATTGTTAGTTTTGCCTGAAATTAAATTGCATAGATTTTAAGATATTAGATCCCAGTCTGTTATCCGAGTAACCGTATCTGACCTGAAATTATTACAAATCGGTTTAGTTATAAAAACCGAAGTATTCGGTTAAAGTTTTAAACCGGTTGATAATTTGTAACCCGGTTCATATAATTGATATTCAACCGCTTTCCCGCCCTCTGAAAACGTTCTTCCGTAACAGTCATAAAATCACCCGACTAAACCAGGTAGCAGATAATCGGTTGGAAACTGACGAGTCACGGGTTTAAAATTTGAAACCGGTTTAGAACCATAAAAGATACAAAATTAAAATACTCCATTAGACATCGCGATCGTTACTCAGTCATTATCGTTATCGGTATCTAGTCGTTTTCATTGCTTAGAATAGTATCAAAAGTGATGATGCCCTTATTCTCCAATTATGGATAATAATTTCAGCACAATAATTTGTGGTTTTTAGAAAATTCGAAAAAGGAAATTATAAAAGGATGAATATTTGTTCTTTATTTCTCAATAGAATTGAATATGCTCAACATTATCATTTCTTTAGTGACAAGAATTGCTTTGCTTTAAAAAGTTCTTGCTCAAGTTTACTAATTTTCTCATTCATGGAGTCATTTAGTGTCGTTGGGATTTCATGTTCAACCGTGTTGAATAAAAATATTTGCTTCCATTTTCTGTTTGATTCTTACCTTCAGGTTTTTTTGAGTTATTAATAAATTTGAGTATTGAATCTGTTTTGTGCATTGTCCTTTCCAACAAACTTATAATGGATCTGTTATGTTAAAAATTTGATCAATGTATCGTGTTGAAAACAACTTTAGAATAGATATCACTATAAAAATATTAATTTTATCAGTATAATTTGAAATTTATAAACCTTTTAATTCATTAATAATTTCTATGTTCTTGCAATAGTTATGGTGCAAGGACTCTTAAATTGACAATATATTTCAATTTTAAAAGGCTACAATTTTCAAAATCTGACTGGTAACTTTGTTCTTTATAATAAGTTCTACAAAGTTATCGATCAGATTTTGAAAATTTTGCCTCTATGTTGAGTAGTAGCATTTTAAAATTGAAACATATTGTCAATTTATTTAAGAGTTTCTGCACAATAAATATTGAATAACAAAGCCACCCGTATCATTTCTGTCAAAATACTCGATTAAGCGACACGAATCTTCTATAAAAATTCTTATTTTCATGATGGATTCTTGATCAAGATTTTAAAACACGAATGCATTCAACTGATCCGAATTGTGAATTGCAGTTATTAAAAACTTCACGTTCAAAGACTTGAAGCATACAGCTTCTTTAGCACCAGAAATTAATAAATAGACATGTTGAAGTTGTTTATTTCAATTCTTAGAGCAATTATCTATTTTCATTTTATTCGAACATAGCATGATGTTTATTATGAATTTGATTTTTTTACGCACAAACCGATTCTTGAAATTTAGAGTTTTTAAACGTCAAATTATATATTTATTGCAATTTACTTTTTATTAGCATGCCCAATTCATTTCTTAGAAATTCAAATTAGGATTTAATTATATAAAACGATTATATATTAACGTTAATAAATTTTTAGGAGCTTTAAAGTTGATATAGACTCTTGTTCCAGCTTATAGTGCTCATTAAAAGTAATCTATTCCAATAACTCAACTAAAAGTAAGATAAAACCATTTTTTTATTATAATGTTTACAATATATTCTGATTATTAATGTATTATATAATTTTTTTTTAGCTTCAATTAATATCTCAACCTGACTCTTCATACTATAAACAAGATTCATGGCAATATTATCAGATAAATAATTCCATTTTATTGCTAATTGTACCTTTAATCCAGTTCTAATTTTTTTGCAATATTAATTTTTATTAATTTTAATCAGATAACATTGATAATCATGAAAGAACTTTGATATTGTTTTCCTTTTCCAATCATTCATCAATCTTAAATGGTATTTTAGATTATTATTTTCTTTCCAAATTCATCCTTTAAAATCGTTCCCAAAAAAATACTCAATAAATAAAAAAAATTGTATTTGTATATCATAATGATAAATTCAGCATTGAAATTTTGCTAAAAATAGATTAACTTATCAAAGTCTAAAACAAAAAAAAATAACTGTATATTAATTTTTAATGAATGCTTTACAAATTGAAATATTTTTCTTTATCCAAAAATTATCAGACTTTAAATAACAACTGGTTTAGATAAAATGTGCTTTTATCTGAAAATATAATCTTACTACAGTCAAAACTTTTATATTTTTTGTCTATTTCAACCAGTTTTCTTTATGAATATTTTTGAAAGTTTCATCATATATTTGCTTTTAACTTTTTGTAAATGTCATTGAAAGTTTTCAAACTAACATTTTGTATATCAGCAATGGTTGCATTAGTTTGCTTCTGTACAAGCTCTATAATCTTTTTACCTTGCTTCAAGGTTGTGGATCAATTATTACCAAAGTTATCTTTGAATCTAATAAATCACTATGAGCTTATTACAGTGAATGTATTTAACTGTAGCTTCAAGTTCAAGCTTCAGACCTTTGGAATGTGAATGTAAAAAAAAATGATTTCATATCATTTGTGTAGAAGTTTGGTGAATATAGAATGTTTGATTTAGAAGTTTATCAGCCTATAACGATAAAAGGCTCGGAAAATTTTGGTACATTACACATGATCTACGGAAAGTTGAAAATAATTCATTTCAGGAAATAGAGGGTCTATTGAAAATGAAACTGTATAATCTCGAAGAGATTGTACAATTAGTCATAGTTTGGCAAAGTGTATTTATTGTTTTATAATTAGTCGGTCGGGCAAAAAACTGTTAAAACTCGTAACATTCGGCCAATTACGTATTGGTGACTTGGAATTTGTGATGTTAGTAAATCAACCACGTCATAACGATAACGACTTTTTATCGGATCATCCATGGGTTATTGAACAATTGAGAAATTATTTATTTGTGTCTGAGTCATTGATAGAGCGATTTGGAGAATAAGGTATTTTGACACGTCCAATTCCAAGAATGCAATAATCAATATTACGAAATTAATAAGAATAATGGCCATATGCTAACAATAGAACCCGTTCAAGAGAGCAATTTTTCGATCGATATTCTCAAATAGCAATTTAATCCCAAATATGTATCAACGACTTTTTCTTCACGAACCAAACTAGCAAGAATATTTGACAACAGATTATTTTGTGTTCTACAGTCGACTTTCGATATAACGACGTGCAGATCCTATTGTAAACAATATAAATTCAATAGAATCTGCACGTCGAAAGTCGACTGTATATCGATATTAAATTTGATCTACTGAAAATTTTCTAACCAACAAATGTGTAAATGAAGACATTGTAGTCCAAATTAGGTTTTTGTCTTTGTTAGTTGAAGAAAACTAATTTACGAATAATACGTAATTATGAAGCTTTTAGATCTATATCCAACCACATAAAAATCCAAAACATCGTCACTAGCTAGAATTATGAAATAAAGGGTAAAAATACAACAAGTAAATTAAAATTTGATTATCCAAAAAATATTTACCGAAGCTACAGATATCACCAATTTCGATCATCTGTGTCAATGAATTATGAACTGGACTTTTTAAAGCACACCCGTTTGGGCGATTAAAGCAGGTCCTAATGTAACATTATTACACCTTCTCTATAAAAATAGAATCAACAAAGAACCAATTAAAAAACTGAATTACAGAAATAACAGCATACCAAATAAGAGCATTTCAAGCTTAGATAATTCAATCGAGATTCTTCCGAGTCAAATTCCATGTCCATGGTATTATCATCACTTAAAATCGTATCAACCGACTCTACTTCATCTACGTCGTCGTCGTTTGTTGATGAATTTTCTTCAGTCGAATTTGTTCGTTTAATCACAAACGATTCTACTTTTGCATACTCCCATTCTTGAATAATAATCTTAACGTCCATTTTTCTAATTTCCCCTACATCTACATTACTTTCCTCCTCTTCGTCTGAATCTTTTCGCGTACATCATCTTGATTATCAACAAAATCATCGCCGCAGATCGACTTTCTATTCCTAAGTTTCATCATTTCTTTTATCTGTTGATGCATACGGAATTCTCTGTCCCACCCTTAGTATTTTTGTTATTTTAATTAATCAATGAAATATTGGCTGCAGAACTATTATGTTCACGTCCACCAATATTAAACAAAAATACTAGTATGGTTTTTCTTTAGTTATTTTGCCCTCTCAAACTCTTTATACATGAGATTGCTTAACAATGAATCTCTGATGGTATTTACTAAGAGCGCTCAAATACCAGTTTATGGTATCTATATTGGTGTATTTGCGCGACATCTCTAACAAATGAGGTCAAGTTCATTAGACAAATTAGGAACAGACTGTTATCATCATTGCACCAATTGTTTGTATTCGCCAAGTTTGTATAACATTTAACAGCTGTTGTCCGTAGTCAGGCATTATATGGTTATTTGTAAGGGAACTTTCGTTTTCAGTGAATAAAGACAAAATTTCAATGTTTCCTTTCATTATTTAAATTACGTGTTGATCAAACATGTAGGAATTTACGTAGTTTGTGCATTAGCTGTTAGATAAGAAACTTTCATTTAAAATATCGATTCAAAATCATAGATTATTATTTAATTATTATTATTATTATTATTATTATAATTATTATAATTATTATTATAATTACTATATTACTATTATACGTAGCTAGTTCAAGTATCATTTATTCAACTTAAAGTTTTGGTTTGACCATTATCGTTATTCTATCAAAACAAAACCACTACATTATTTGTTGGTGAAAATTATCTGCATTGGATACACAAAATACAGCAAATTGTCACGTTAATTGAAATTATAAAAAAATTTCAAAGACTCATAGATTTGGGCTGAAACCTAAGGAGACGGAGAGGGTACAGGTTAATGCATTACTTGCACAGCGAAAAATATCCATCATAGAAAAATTGCGTAATTTATTAAATGTCATTTGACTTATCATAGTAAAATATAATACTTTTTCTGAAATCTTATTAAATCTAAACTCAAATACCCAATATAATAAAAGTGAATGATTGGTTAGGTAGGGATGCATCACTTTTGTTTGATGCTTGAGCACGCGTACAAAGGGATTGCTATGGCTGACAATCATTAGAAACAAACAATTTATTTAAACTCACAAATAAGGTAATGAATCAAAATGCGGCATGGTTTGTCAATTAAGAAGAATCCCTTTTTTTGCGAGTGTATATAAATAATCCCACTCGTTAGACGAGTACCTTGTTCATACAGTTTGTTTTCTTTATTTCCCAACATTTCCTTTCTATATATTAAATTTTCGCAGCGCGAAAATAAAAAAACTATTAACAATAGTAACAAAATTAATTCAATGAAAATGAAATTTCTCACATCAGCAATTATCTTTAGTTTGGCTGTTCTGTCAGTGACAGCACATCCAGTCAAAACAGAAACAACTCCAGCAAAATCTCCATCTACAACTCCAGTATCAACAGGAACTACAACTTTGGAACCACACAAACCAAAACCATCATCAACTACCAGCAAATCATCATCAACTACCAGCAAATCATCATCAACTACCATCAAATCATCATCAACTACTACCAAACTATCGTCAACTACCAAACCATCGTCAACTACCAAACCATCGTCAACTACTAAACCATCGTCAACTACCAAAACTAACACTCCTCCAACATTCACTGCTACACCATTGATAAAAAACTCGACCTCGAAGTTTGGTCCTCTAATCGAAGGTGCCGCAGTAAATGCGAAGGGTGAATTATTTGCGGTCAGTTTCAAGAAAGCCGTTTTCCAACTTGGACAAGTTCTTCCTACTCAACAATTGTTCTTCAGGGGAGATAACAAGAGTTTCTTCAATTCTATCCGATTCCTCCCGTCAAAGAATAAGAATGAACAAATTGCATTAACTGGTGATGTGCTACAACATCGTGTACTAAAAATAGTGAAAAAGGGAAAAAATACAAAGACCTCTGTGTTCTGTGCAGATCCACGTATTGTTCAACCAAACGACTTGGCTGTGACTAAGTCTGGTCGTGTTTATCTTTCTGGCCAAAATTTCACCCACGATACTAAAGTAGGTGATGGTTCTTTGTGGCTTTGCGATGGAAAATCAAAAAAAGTAAGTAAAAGTTTATCGTTATTGTTAATCGTTATTGTTAATTTGAATTATCGAATGAATATCTAATAATTTACATTGTCTCATCGAACAATAGGCTATCCGATTAGGCGAATTCGGTCGCACCAATGGAATCGAAGTTTCACCTAACGAAAAATATCTCTACTTATCGGAAGCATTCAACAAAAACGGAACAATAGTCTCCAACAAAATTCTTCGTTTCAGACTAAACCGAAAAACTGGCAAAACAATCGGAAAACCCAAAATTTTTGTTGACTTTGCAAAATTCGATAAAACTCAAAACATTGACATTGATGGAATGCGCACCGACATCAAAGGAAATCTTTACGTCACTCGTAATGGAAGTGGTCAAGTGAAAAAATTCTCTCCAACCGGCAAACTATTGGCCACGTATGTACTTAGTTTCAAAGCCCCAACTAATCTCGAATTGGGTGGCCCAACGGGCACAGATTTGTTTGTTGTTGGTAAATGCGAAGGTGAATTTGCAAATGGCTGTGTTGATGTTTACAGAGGTGGAAAAATTCCTGGACGCGCTATTTCTATTTTAAGGAGGAGAGGGCATGGACACATGTAAAGGGAAATAAAGTAAACTTTATAAATTGTAAATCTAAATTGTATCATTATTTATTTATTATTATTCACTTGCATGACACATGAAAATATCTGTATTATCATTGATTGATATCATAGAATTATATGTACGTATCTTCTGAATTGGAAAATTGTATTAAATCAAAAAAAACTCCTGCATATATGTCTCAGTTGTTCATGATTGAATTCTTCCATATCGATGTGATTACCCAGTGATAAACATGGTCAAAACGACTATTTGGGTTGATCCTAGAGTATTTGCTATTCTGCTGTATCAATTACATGTACATGTATTAACACCTATTCGAGCATGTAAATGAAACTATATATATATCAGAATCTCGTTTGCCGCATTTAGGATTCAACAATCGGATCGCACTTGATTAAAGATGGAAATAATACATTCCATATCGATATTTAAATTTTTTGAGGCTCTATCGCTATTATAATTTTGTTGTTTTTTAAACACGTCATTTCTCATTATTTACCTTCGGTTCTATTCGCCGAATTCCAAAAGTTTAAGAATCTTGCAAGAATAGCATATTAAGTCATATTGTTTTTACAGTCAAACTCGATATACCGATATTCGATTAAACTTTCGATATAACGATATTCTAGTAATAAAAGTTCGTTATATCAAATTTACTATGAAAAGGTTCACTATATCCAGCGTTGACTGTACAATGCTAAAAAGGTTGAACAGCAGTTTTTAATTGTTTGCTAAAGCTAATACGTAATGTAACTGCAACATGTGACGCACCAGTATGACCCTAGCTCAAAAAGCTCGTGTAGAAAGTCGTTATTGTTATCGTGCATTTAACAAAAGTTTGCAATGTGTAATCAAATCTCGCTATTTGCAGAAAAATAGTTAATATCTCAGTGTTTTTCCAACAATTATTAGCGTTTTTAAGAAATATTAGTAAAATTAAATATATTTAGTCAGAAAATTTCATGAAAACATTCTTTATATTATATACGAAACTAGTTTTGCACAATTTGTTTCCAAATTAGGGGATGCGCGTGGTGAACACGTGTAATCCATCCAATAGGGATGCGCAAATTTTTGATCAACACGGCAAAACAAATCCGACACAAGAGATGAAAATGTGAGAAATGTGAATATTACAAGAAAACCGATGCTTAGATCTGTCTTAGAATATTAATTAAAAATGTTAGAAAGGCAATTTTATATATAAGCTTGTCCTCTTTACCCTTACTTTGACCTTACGAATCATTAATCGATTGCACACTGAAAATTTAAAAGGATTGAATCACATGTTCACCACGCTTTAGCGCATCTCTAAATTAGGGGATACGCTATAAGCGTTGTAAGTCCGTTCAGACACAAACAAAAACAAATCCGAACCACGAACGAAAAAAGTGAAAAATACGGTATGCTTAAATCTATCTTGGAGCACTATTAAAAATGTCGGGAGGCAAGTTCACATATAATCTTCTCTCTAACACTAAAACCAACCATTGTGATAAATATATATCACGTGACCTACAACGCTTTAACGCGCCCTAAATTAGGGTTTCGGATAGTTCCAGTCTTATAGGGCGAAACGTTTCGAAAAAATAGTTTCTCCCGAAACACTGGACCTGGCCTTTAATAACCTCGGTGAATTATGACCAAATCACTGTTTATTTTTGAATTCGTGACCTAGGTACTTTCTTTGTCCAATAAGTTGAGACCATAATTTGTGACATCATTATAAAATATGACTCATTGAAAAAACCACATAAAACACGTTAAGATCTCGCAGTTACCAAGAGCAGAATCTAGTAAATTTATTTTTTTTGATAATTATTAAATTTTATTATAAAAATATTGCATCAAACGTTCCGTGGTATGCAATCGTCTTCTCTCCTAAAACTACCCGCTCCTCATCTTCACTCTCGCCTTCTTGTTCATCATCACGAACAACCAACCCATCTACAACCCAGTTGATCAAATTCACCACCTTTTCGCTCCACCTCGTACTGTCCATTTTAATTCTTTGTTTAGGTGGAGCTTCTTCTATTTGTTTGATCAATAATTCAAAATAAAACAAACTGAACTGGTAGAAACAATTTGATTTTTCGTTTATTACCTTCATCCACATCTTCTTCATTACGTGCATCCACGGAACGTTTCTTCCCAACCTTGGACACATTTGCAGTTGGGATTTTTTTTGATGCAATAATTGATTTTTGAGTAGTAGCTTTTGAAGCCGTGAATTTACTGTTTAAGAAAACTCTGTACTCTGCAATTGCTTCGTTGATCAAACGCTTATTTTCATCTAAATTCCAAAATACATTATTTTCTGTACTTTTAACGAATATTGATTCTTTCTTGCATTTTTGGTAAAGATTTAATTCACGATTGATAGTATTCCTTGGTGTTTTGCCTCTAAGTGTTTTTTATAGAATTAAGATCATTATAATATAACGATAAGAGCAATAATGATTACTTAAAACTGAAAAAATGCAAAGGCAATTGACTAATGTGTAAACGAGCAAACGACATACCCTAAGGTAGCCAAATTAAACGCGCGGATATATTCAGCAATCTCTAAATCTTGAGTTGGCGCATTTTCTCTTAAAATAAGAGCTTTTACGATTCCGGGGAATAGTTGCTTACTAGTCCTACCGATATTCTGATACGCTGACTCGATATTTTTCTTCTTGTAAATTTCATGGACCTTGGCAATATTTTTAGATGGGATTTTATTCTTTATTTGTCTCAGGTTTTTCATTTTTAATTATAACGAAAATAATAACCAAATGTTCACGTTTTTCTCTGGGTAGCAGAAACTTTATATTATGTGTGAAATGGACAGTTATTCGAAGCTTTTGTTGGTTTGTAAGAGCTTGTATATATACTCTATAGCTAGTGCTAGGAGAAACAAACTACAACGTGACTATGCAATATATACGGATTAATAAATTGGCTTTCTTCTGATCGCAACACATGATCCAATAATATACAGTTCTATCGATTATCATTGTACAAATTGACTATCCTCTTTTGTTCAGTCCTTGATTTACCGTTATTCTGCATTACTTTATTAATAACAAGAATGCTAAGCGTACGTATTTAAAGATTTAAGAAAAAAGTCTAGATCTATGTGCATGTTTATCTTTTTGTTAGTAAAGCAAACCCAATTGGCCATTTGTTTTTATCATCACGAGATAGATGATACTGATACCTAGAGCATTGTGCATTTATACTTACGTAATCGATATTCTATGAATATTGTTATCTAAAGTTCCAAAGGTGAATTCAAAAATTATCCCATAGAAATTCCATCAAAGAACAAATGATCAACTCATCAGAGATCCTTGGTTGTTGGTATCATACTCAGCTTTATGCCTGCAGAAAAACTTATGGACGCTTTGATATTGAAAAATTCATTATAATTACTTCGATAAATTCGTATATCTAATACTCTCAATTAATGAACTAGAAACAATGGGGGCTGTAGAGAGGTTCAGCCCAATTAGAATAGGAGCTTTACTAAAGTTAGGGTTAGGACTGGGAAATAGGTTAATGTAGGCTGAAGGTAAACACGTGAAGCATTACCTGAGACAAGCCGTGATCTGAAGCATAACTTTGTGTTTCTAGTTTGTTTGCTGTCTTTTCTTAGGCAGGAGGTGGAAACTCTTGGAGAGGATCGAATAATGTCTTTGATTGCAGGTCACAAAACGCATAGTCTATCTTTAAGAAAGTGATTAATGTACTAGAGAATGGTGTAAAATTAAAGGATTGAATGATGACTCGGTTACAGTCATACTATATATGTAAATATTAATGTACACTTGTCGTATACATACTACGATTGTTTGGTGAATCTTTACCGAATGCAGTCGTCCTCCTTCCCTTGGATTCATGCGATGGTGTGACAACAGGGTGATGTGCTTATATAGGGGGACGACTGTAATCATATCATATACCAATATCACAGTCATCTAGGCAAAGAAGTTCGCAGGGGCGTAATCATGTCTTTATATCGGTACATTGGATTCGGATTTAATGTTCTTGCAAAAAAATTACGCTGGGTGATGCTTGCAAGGTTAACCGATGTATGATCCTTTTGTTGTTGAATACAATGAATTATAATATACGATATTTAAGACTCGCGCATGGCTCTTTACTCGACCGAATCGATAGTACTACTGGATCACATAAATCTCTTTCGAAGCTTAGGCTAAAACTTTAACTTTATAAATGTCCTTTCCGATATCATTATTATTGTCTTGAATCGGGTAAAGACTTTTTCTCATATCAGCAAAGCCTGAATCAAATAAACTAATCAATGTCCTTGAATCTCACTAATGATGCACAAAAGGATCCATCAACAATGATCTTTAAGTACTGAATGAATCCAATCAAGTTACAAAAACAAACAATCATAATGTCCTTTACAATGTTTTATATAAACTGCTGTTGCAATATGACTCGGGATTTGAGAGCTTGAAATAATATATCTTCTTCATGGATGTCAAGAGATAATAATCGACAACAATTCCTTGTCGTCGGGTATATTGCTAACGATATCCGTTCGCGTCTTAGTTGTCTAACCCACACATCAATAAACATAAGTTTATTGTAAGGAAGTGGATCAATCATCAGTATAATCGTTATATTAAAATGTTATTGATAATGTAAGGGAAATGTTGGTTGTTGATAATTTTAATTGATTTGTTATTATTATTGAAGAAGTTGTGTCGTGCCAGTGAAGGTTAAGATTTTTCTGCATCCAAGATAGTCGACGAAGAGAAGCGTGTAAACGACACAATCGAGATCATTTGGCTGCTGCGGGATATCTACAATACCATACGTCCTCTACGCAATTGTATTAATTGCGCGTATGTTCGTAGGAAGTTGTCGAGGCGAGGCTCTTTTTTTTTGGTAAGAGGAATAAACAAAAATAGTCAATAAAGATAAAATTCGCGTAAACGCTATAATTAAAAATAGTCAAAAAATATAACCATCGCCCG